ATTTAACAACAAGTGTGTTTAAAGTTGTTCTGTATGTTCAGTAGTTCAGTAAAGTTAAAAAAAAAATAAAAAAAAAAATAAAAAGTGTGTTTAAAGCAGCAAACGGGACTCCAGCACGGCAGGGATCAGTAGTGAGCCGGAAATCACCATCCGGATATTCATGTCCTACCTTTACGTATCTTTTTCAGCGTACGTCCGCCTCTGGGAATGTGAGGGAGGTAGTCAATATATCCAACGTAACTGCTGTCCGTGAATACCCTAGAGATGCGTTGAACGTGTGGTTACCGTTTTGTGTTATGTAGCTTCGTAAAAACTGCTTACTGACGCAGGAAACAAATACGCAATACAGTCACAGACAAAACGAAATGTTGTAGTGGCTTACTGTAAGTAGATCAAGGCTGTGTTTAAAACACAAAGACTGTCCTTGGAACGCAGGTAGAGGTGGGTGGGTTTTTTTTTTGTACGCTTTCGTTAATTGTCAACGCTTAGATGTTAGCCGCTATGCTAATGTTAGCGCTTAGCTTCTCCCTCAAAAAAGAGCTGCACTCAAAGTAATCAAAATGCGTCTACAAATATATTGCAGAATCGTGTATCTTATTGTGTTAATTCTTTAAAGTGAAAAGAGAATGTGAACTTCTGTCAATAATAAGGTTTGAGTTGTGTAAACAATGTTGTTAAACATCTGTAGCATGTGCTGTGCCGCCATGTTGAGCTAACTTAGCTAACTAGTATTCTCCACAACAAGCTCATCTCGTTTTTTAATAGATAAAACTAATAATATAATCAAATTAAATGCCTGAGATTTACAGTTTTTTTATGTTTTCACGTAAATATGAGTTCAAAACTGTTTAAATTTAAGTTTTTTTTGTTTGTTTGTTTGTTTTACTTTCGACGATTTTTAAAAATTTGGCTCATCTTTCTTTAAACTTCCTCTAGGTTGGTGAGGCACAATGGCAGCGCCTTTTCCTTACAGAGGGCTCCCTCCAGGGATGCCACCAGGCGTACCTCCTGTTCTTGTCCCCCCGATTGTCCCCCCAGGTGTTGCCCCAATTGTCCCCCCTTCCGCACCTGTCCCGGATTACATGTCTGAGGAGAAGCTGCAAGAAAAAGGTACTTTGTTTTGTTGTAGTTCAGTTCAGAACATAAAGACATATAGATTTCCCTTTACATATGTTTGTGAAAGGATATTTAAAATGGATCTTAATCTTACAGCAAGGAAATGGCAGCAATTGCAGGCCAAGCGCTACGCAGAAAAAAGAAAGTTTGGCTTTGTGGATGCCCAGAAGGAGGACATGCCCCCTGAACATGTCCGCAAGATCATTAGGGACCATGGAGATATGACCAACAGAAAGTTCCGACATGACAAAAGGGTGTACCTTGGGTAAAAAAAAATTGCTTTTACATTCATGCAAAATGCAAGTTTATTAATTCTAAGTAAACAATATACTAACAGTATCAATCGTTTGCATGGTCTAATATGCTCACTGGTTTTGATTACACTATTTCTGCTTCTTTTGATATCTTTGCGTGTACATATTCTATATTCTTGCTGAACAGTGCCCTCAAGTACATGCCCCACGCAGTGCTGAAACTGCTTGAAAACATGCCGATGCCCTGGGAACAAATCCGAGATGTTCCTGTGCTCTATCACATCACTGGAGCCATTTCCTTTGTGAATGAAATCCCATGGGTTATAGAGCCTGTCTACATTGCCCAGTGGGGGTAAGAATAAGTTTGACATCCTATACTTAAATGTGGTCTCACTTTGTTTGTCAGGGTATAACCCAAAATGAACATCAAATGGAATGTGCACAACAATGTTTCTTTGATATCAATAGTCAGCGTTATTCCTTTAAAAAAAATTTCAGCACCATGTGGATCATGATGCGTCGTGAGAAACGTGATCGACGACACTTCAAGAGAATGCGCTTTCCTCCATTTGATGACGAGGAGCCGCCGCTGGACTATGCTGACAACATCCTTGATGTGGAGCCTCTGGAGGCCATCCAAATGGAGCTCGATAACGAGGAAGATTCTCCCGTTGTGGATTGGTTCTATGAGCATCAGCCCCTCAAAGACACTACCAAGTGAGTCCTCTATTACATATACAAGCTCATTATTTCAGCTGTTGCTTGGCTTGAAAATTCAAACTTGTTTTTGTCTTGTTCAGGTTTGTGAATGGCACCACTTACCGTCGCTGGCAGTTCACCCTGCCCATGATGTCCACACTGTATCGTCTGGCCAATCAGCTTATGACAGACCTGGTGGATTTTAATTACTTTTATCTGTTTGACCTCAAGGCCTTTTTCACATCTAAAGCCTTGAACATGGCCATCCCAGGAGGACCAAAGTTTGAGCCGCTGGTCAGAGACATTAACCTCCAGTAAGTGCTGCTTTATATAAAGGAAACGATAGACAACTGAATTTAAACTTGACATTTTTGGGCCTTTACAACTTGAATGTTTTCCTGTTTACAAACATAAATGTACTTGTTAAACAAGATGTTTTTGTGGAATTTAATAAATCATCTTTGCTAAAGAGTAAAACCGAAACTAAATGGTTTCTCTTAGCTAATTATGTTTGTATTTTCTGCAGGGATGAAGACTGGAACGAGTTCAACGACATCAACAAAATCATCATCCGTCAGCCCATCAGGACAGAGTACAAAATTGCTTTCCCCTACTTGTACAACAACTTACCACATCATGTGCACCTCACCTGGTAAGAATAAATGAGTTATTTAAACAAAACATAATTGAAACTTATTTATTGAGTCATGATAATTAGGTTGGTGAAATACTGGTAAAATATTTGACTTGATTGTTCATGTTGCTAAATTTATTACATTGTCTGTTGGCTGTATCAACTGGACACTTGTGCAACTCGTTCTGCAGGTACCATACACCAAATGTGGTATTTATCAAAACAGAGGATCCAGATCTTCCTGCGTTCTACTTTGATCCACTGATCAACCCTATTTCTCACAGACATTCTGTCAAGGTTTGTGCTGCATACTGCCTCTTTATTTTAAGAGCTGAGAGCTGGTTGTAAGAGATACTGTTATGGGTCTTTATCATTTATGTCCTCTTACGAAGACGCACTTGCATTGCCTGCTTGTCTGTGCGTAAGAACAAGAGGAATATTAAAATGAATGGTGACCTTTTTAATTTATTCCTGGCTGCAACTGCAGATTACTCATCGCCATTCAGATATTTCTTTCAGTTGTATATATATTTTTTATGATTTTGATAAATAATGGGTTTTTTTTTTTTTTTTTTTTTTTTTTTTTTTTTTAGTCAAAACCCTTCAATGTTTTTGTTTCTACTTGTAGAGCCAGGAGCCCCTCCCTGATGATGATGAGGAGTTTGAGCTTCCTGAATATGTGGAGCCCTTCCTCAAAGAGACTCCACTCTACACTGACAACACAGCTAACGGCATTGCTCTGCTTTGGGCTCCAAGACCCTTCAATCTCCGCTCTGGTCGCACAAGGCGAGCCATCGATATCCCTCTGGTCAAGAACTGGTAAGCTAACGATCATCATTGGAGCAAGAGCGAATTTGTTTCATTATTTTAAAATTGCTTGGCTATTTGTATAAAAATTATAATTGTAGGTCAATTATAACATACATTTTGAGAAAGAAATAAGCGTGAAATATACATACAGGTACCGAGAGCATTGCCCTGCAGGACAGCCGGTGAAAGTACGTGTTTCGTACCAGAAACTGCTGAAATACTATGTGCTCAATGCACTCAAACACAGACCGCCCAAGGCTCAAAAGAAAAGGTGACAATTACTGGATATATTTTTGATTTTCTGTTTCTTGTCTTTCAAATTTAAATCGGTCTTCTCTCTATTTTTTTTTTCATCATACCTTTTTTTTTGTAAAATATCTCTTCTTCTGTTATCTTTCAGATATCTGTTCCGCTCCTTCAAAGCCACAAAGTTCTTTCAGTCCACTAAGCTGGACTGGGTGGAGGTCGGCCTGCAGGTGTGCAGGCAGGGCTACAACATGCTCAATCTGCTCATTCACCGTAAGAATCTTAACTACCTGCATCTGGACTACAACTTCAACCTGAAACCCGTGAAGACACTGACCACCAAGGTAAAGTTTCTAAGGCAGATTTGTTAAACTTATTTCACAATAATTCTTGACTATGAAATCATGAAAAACCTGGGGCTTCATGCCTGAAAACAGTCTAAAGTTACACATTTCTTTTATTGGATGGATGGCAATGTATGGATGGATGGATGACGATAGATGAAGGACTGTGCATGGATGGATGGATGGATGGATGGAGGGCAATGGATGGCAATGGATGGATGACAATGGATGGACGGCAATGCATGGATGGATAGAGGGCAATGTATGGATGGATGGATGACAATGGGCGAAGGGCAATGGGTGGAGGGCAATGCATGGATAGATGGAGGGCAATGGATGGAGGGCATTGCATGGATGGGTGGAGGGCATTGTATAGGTGGTTGGATGTCAATGGATGGATAGATGACAATGGGTGGGGGGCAGTGCATGGATGGATGGAGGGCTGTGGATGGAGGTCAATGCATGTATGCATGTAAGTAATGCTTACTTTATTGTCCACAATGGGAAATTTGTCTTGGACATTGTGCACTAAACAAAGTTCTTCCACACCTAAATGCTACAAACACTAAATTCATGTGAACACTACAATTAAATAAATAAAAATACCTCTTGCTCAATAAAAACGCATATTACTCAATAACACATATTTCAGGTCTCGTAAATGAGTCCTTGAGGCTCAATGGGATTAACCTGTCTAAATAAAGGTTGAATGAATTGCACATTCCCACATACATTCCATCAAGTAAACAAAACAACAAATCAGACCAGAGCATTTTGTTGTTAATTCTAAGAATTTAGGTGTGAAAATGGTTCAGGTACAGTATTTGAGCCAATTCTGACTTCTGCCTTGTTGTTTGTCCTCCAGGAGCGAAAGAAGTCCAGATTTGGCAACGCCTTCCATCTGTGCAGAGAGGTGCTGCGTCTCAGCAAGCTGGTGGTGGACAGCCACGTTCAGTACAGACTGGGAAATGTTGACGCTTTCCAGGTTTGTTTTTCATTGCTCATCTTATTACATTTCCAGGCTTTCTACACTTCTCTGTAATTCAAGTCCCTTTATTGTGTGATCAGTTTGAGCAACAAAACACATCGACTATTGGTTGACCTTCATTATATAAGATTTTTCTGTAATGAAGTGAAGTTTTGTATCATAGTTTAATTGCTTGCAGTATTAAACAGAAGAGTACACCAATGAGCATTTCAAGTGTTTAAATTTAATATTTTCCTCAACTTCAAGTATCTTTGTTCCCAGTGTTTGTTTCACACGATGACCTTGTATGTTGCTTTATTTCTGTGTTTTAGTTGTCTGACGGGCTGCAGTACATCTTTGCTCATGTGGGTCAGCTGACAGGCATGTATCGCTACAAGTACAAGCTGATGAGGCAAATCCGGATGTGCAAAGACCTAAAACATCTCATCTACTACCGATTCAACACTGTAAGAAAACTTGGTGTATTAGAACAGATTCTTTGCCAAGTTCTCTGCACTTTGAAGCTGTATTCAGTCATTTTGTGTTTTTCATCAGGGTCCTGTGGGCAAAGGTCCTGGTTGTGGCTTCTGGGCCGCTGGCTGGAGAGTGTGGCTCTTCTTCATGAGGGGCATTACTCCACTGTTGGAGAGGTGGCTTGGAAATCTCCTGGCCAGGCAGTTTGAAGGCACGGTGTCATCTTTTCATTTTAACTGTGGGGTGCTGTGATGCAAGCATGTAAATATAACAAGTGAGAGGAAGTTAGCCACTTTAATCAACTTTATTCTTTTTTATCTCCACAGGACGCCACTCAAAGGGTGTGGCCAAGACCGTGACCAAACAGCGTGTAGAGTCCCACTTTGACCTGGAGTTGCGTGCTGCAGTGATGCACGACATCCTGGATATGATGCCTGAAGGTATCAAGCAGAACAAGGCCAGAACCATCCTGCAGCATCTCAGCGAATCCTGGAGATGCTGGAAGGCAAACATCCCATGGAAGGTCAGTGGCTCACGGTTATCTTCCACTAACTAACTACAGTGCCTTGCGAAAGTATTCGGCCCCCTTGAACTTTTCAATCTTTTGCCAAATTTCAGGCTTCAAACTTAAAAATATAAAATTTAATTTTTTGTGAAGAATCAACAACAAGTGGGACACAATCGTGAAGTGGAATGAAATTTATTGGATGTGTCAAACTTTTTTAACAAATAAAAAACTGAAAAGTGGGGCGTGCAATATTACTCGGCCCCTTTACTTTCAGTGCAGCAAACTCACTCCAGAAGTTCAGTGAAGATCTATGAATGATCCAATGTTGTCCCAAATGACTGATGATGATAAATAGAATCCACCTGTGTGTAATCAAGTCTCCGTATAAATGCACCTGCTCTGAACACACCAGGCAGGTCCGAGATACTGTTGTGGAGAAGTTTAAAGCCGGATTTGGATACAAAAAGATTTCCCAAGCTTTAAACATCCCAAGGAGCACTGTGTAAGCAATCATATTGAAATGGAAGGAGTATCAGACCACTAAAAATCTACCAAGACCCGGCCGTCCCTCTAAACTTTCATCTGGAACAAGGAGAAGACTGATCAGAGATGCAGCCAAGAGGCCCATGATCACTCTGGATGAACTGCAGAGATCTACAGCTGAGGTGAGAGAGTCTGTCCATAGGACAACAATCAGTCGTACACTGCACAAATCTGGCCTTTATGGAAGAGTGGCAAGAAGAAAGCCATTTCTCAAAGATATCCATAAAAAGTGTTGTTTAAAGTTTGCCACAAGCACCTGGGAGACACACCAAACATGTGGAAGAAGGTGCTCTGGTCACATGAAACCAAAATCCAACTGTTTGGCCACAATGCAAAATGATATGTTTGGCGTAAAAGCAACACAGCTCATCACCCTGAACACACCATCCCCACTGTCAAACATGGTGGTGGCAGCATCATGGTTTGGACCTGCTTTTCATCAACAGGGACCGGGAAGATGGTCAGAATTGATGGGAAGATGGATGGGGCCAAATACAGGACCATTCTGGAAGAAAACCTGTTTGAGTCTGCAAGAGACCTGAGACTGGGACAGAGATTTATCTTCCAACAAGACAATGATCCAAAACATAAAGCAAATCTACAATGGAATGGTTCACAAATAAACGTATCCAGGTGTTGGAATGGCCAAGTCAAAGTCCAGACCTGAATCCAATCGAGAATCTGTGGAAAGAGCTGAAGACTGCTGTTCACAAACGCTCTCCATCCAACCTCACTGAGCTCGAGCTGTTTTACAAAGAAGAATGGGCAAGAATTTCAGTGTCTCCATGTGCAAAACTGATAGAGACATACCTCAAGAGACTTGCAGCTGGAACTGCAGCAAAAGGCGGCGCTACAAAGTATTAACGCAAGGGGGCCGAATAATATTGCACGCCCCACTTTTCAGTTTTTTATTTGTTAAAAAAGTTTGACACATCCAATAAATTTCATTCCACTTAACGATTGTGTCTCACTTGTTGTTGATTATTAAAAAAATTAAAATTTTATATCTTTATGTTTGAAGCCTGAAATGTGGCAACAGGTTGAAAAGTTCCAGGGGGCCGAATACTTTCACAAGGCACTGTACATATGGGTGTATTCCCCGTTCTGCTAAATCTTAAGATTGATCTAACTGTGTAGTAAGTTGAAATTCAAAAAATAATATCATTACTCAAAACTGTTAAGTTTTTAGAACATCATATTTAAGCAGCTTGTGTATTTAGATATAGTTGATAACATAGTCCTGATCAAGAATCTTGTAAAAAATAGTTGCCATATTTTCAGATATTATAAAGATGATTTAAAATGCAGTCTTGGTCTTTTTTTTTTTTTAGGTCCCCGGCCTTCCCACTCCCATTGAGAACATGATCCTACGGTACGTGAAGGCCAAAGCTGACTGGTGGACAAACACGGCTCACTACAACCGTGAGCGAATTCGCAGAGGAGCCACCGTGGACAAGACGGTGTGCAAAAAGAACCTGGGCAGGTTGACCCGTCTGTACCTGAAAGCTGAGCAGGAGCGACAGCACAACTACCTGAAGGTAACGCAGCAGGGTGTTTTTTATTTATTTATTTCATTGATTAAAAAAGAAAACTGGTGCACTAATTTTGTTACATTTAGTTTCTTACCATAATTGTCCTTCTGGTTCAAATTAATGCACTGAAGCTAGACAAAACAAATGAGTGTAATGCACATAACAAAATCAATGTCCTGTTTTAAGGAATCCTTACGAAGGCACACTTGCATTGGTCTTTTATTACTCACTGCAGTTGGCCCATCACTGTTCACATATTGGTTCTTTTGACTGTAAGGACTTTAAGGATCTAACAAAATGTGCTTTATATTATCTAAACAGTTTAAGCTTTTTCTTTAATCCTTTTATTTTGGATTGAACTTTATATTTTTGGCTTCCAGGATGGCCCCTACATAACAGCAGAAGAGGCTGTGGCGATTTACACCACCACGGTGCACTGGCTGGAGAGTCGGCGGTTCTCTCCCATACCTTTCCCCCCATTGTCCTACAAACATGACACCAAGCTGCTGATCCTGGCCCTGGAGAGGCTCAAAGAGGCATACAGGTGAACATGTAGAGGATATGGTCTACTCTGTCAGCTGTCCAACTTGTTTTTAAGATTTATTAAATTTGTGTGTGTGTGTGTGTGTGTGTGTGTGTGTCTTGTAGTGTGAAGTCTCGTCTGAACCAGAGTCAGAGGGAGGAGCTGGGTTTGATCGAGCAGGCCTATGACAACCCTCACGAAGCTCTGTCCAGGATCAAACGTCACCTGCTCACGCAGAGAGCGTTCAAGGAGGTCAGCACACACAAGTGCAGGCGTTTAGCCACAGACAAAAATATTAGTAAACAATTTTTTTAACGCACAACTTTTAGAGCACAGAACATTTGGGGTGGACGGAGACATGTCTGTGTACAGCTTGTACCAACAGTTTTTGAGTGTGGGGGTGGGGGGTATTCAGCGTGAGGGAAGAGGCACCTTTAGCTTTTTAGCTAGAGCGCCTTTATTGCACGTGGCTAGATTAGCGCTATGTCAGTGCTGGGGGTGGGTTTGTGGTTTGGTAGGCGGGGTGCTTAGTTCTGTTGACAGGATGGGGCACCCCACTTGTATAATGGTAGGGGAAACAGAGTTTAATGTTTTCATTATAAAGAGGTTCTTACATGGATGGATTGATTACAGGATATTACAAAATATGGAAATTACAGGGTCACAGCAGTTATGTCATACAGACAACAGCATCTCTAAGATTAATACAAAGTATTAATACTAAACTATTTAAAAAACAAAAATACACAAATACTAAAATAATGATTTAAAAAATGGGAAACAAAATCCAACAAAGTTCAGTCAGGTCATCTGGATGGTTTCTTTTTTGTGTTGAGAGGTTTCGTCCTTCATCCAAAGGACTTCATCAGTCCGAAGGATGAAATGTCTCAGCAAAAAATAAGAAACCGTCCAGATGACCTGACTGAACTTTGTTGGATTTTTTAAAACTGGATTACTGAGCATGAATTTTGATGCATCAAAATACATTGAACCAATATAGAGGGGTACTTTTAGCAGCAAACATTTAGTACATGTCTTCATTGCTCATTAAAGAGCTTGGTGGAAGCTGTCAGGAAAGACCTATGATAACGTTCAGTCTTGCACTTTGGTGCAGTCAGCCAGCAACTGAAGGAGCTCTGAAACTCCTCCAGGGCATGAAGTGGGTGCACAATGTTGTTCATAATGGCTTTTATTCTTGGTGTCCTCACTTCAGCCACCTGCTCAACCCACTCCTCAGTTATTCCATTAGTGGAGCTCGTGTTTTTAAATCAGTTTAAGTCTTTGTTTATCTGATGTGAACACCCCCCCAGGTGACCACCCCAAAGCACATGCTACTACAGTTCTGTAAAAAGAGCTCAGCTGATGTTGAAGGACCGCAGTCTTAGAAAGTACATCCTGCTCTGACCTTTCCCGTATGTTTTATTCTCCTGTCAGTTTCAGGACATTTTCTTCTGTTTCAGGTTGGTATTGAGTTCATGGACTTGTACAGCCACCTTGTACCAGTGTACGATGTGGAACCTTTGGAGAAGATCACAGATGCCTACCTGGATCAGTACCTGTGGTACGAGGCAGACAAGAGGCGTCTTTTCCCACCGTGGATCAAACCTGCCGACACTGAACCACCACCTCTGCTGGTCTACAAGTGGTGCCAAGGTAACGTTTGCTTCAGGCCTTTTACTTTCTATTTATCTTTTCAAAACACAACGTTCTCTAAAGTAGGACCTCATGGTGTCACAAGTATTTATGAGAAGAATAAAATAAAATTGCACAATGAAATAAAAGTTACACATATAAGTGGAATCCAACTCAATTCAATGTTTTTTTAGAAACTAGTTCAACAATTTTACATTTTATTATAATACATATTTGCGATACTCCACATCCGTCACTCATTCATTCAAATACACCATTCATTCACCACCTCAGACCTCTACACTTCACAATGCAGAGGGAGGGCACTCCGCATCATGAAGGACTCCACCCATCCTGCACACCGTCTGTTCCAGCCCCTCCCCTCAAGCTTAGGATCATTCAGAGCAAGACCACCAGGCTCAGAAATAGTTTCTTCCCTGCAACTGTCAGACTGCTGAACTCGAGCTGCGCTTAATTCAGCTTCATTTAACTTTTTTTTACAGTATTTATTATATATATTTGTACTCTTTTGTATTTATTTATTTATTTGCTAATTGTTAGGCTTCTTGATCTGGGACCTGAGTCCGAATTTTGTACCATAAACATGAAAATGTGAGCTGCTATGACAATAAAAAATCCTTGAATCCTTGAAATATGGATGATAAAAATAATAAATATAATAATAATAAAAATTAAAATGTAATAATAATAAAAAAACATATAATATTTATAATAAATAATTTATACAAAAGCTCCATATCAGTGAACCAGGTACCGCAGCGCCCTCTGGTGTCTCATGACTATATTCTACCATGCTGGTTGTCTTCTGTTTGTTCCATTTGCTACTTATGTTTTGAAATTTGGTCTTTAACCACTTGCTCCAGTCGTTGTAGGGAGATCTTGATGTAATTTTGTCCATCCAAATTTTCTTGGCGTCATTTTTTCAACTCTTCTAGCAGCATTTCGTTTGACTGATGTTAGCTTCAGTAGGTAATCTAGTGACTATCTTCCTTTTCTTTCTCGATATCTTTGGTAAGAGTTTTTTTGTCTTGTGCTTGCAGACATTTTGTAAAATTTTATCCAAGTTTGTGACTTCTTTTCTGGCTGAGCTCTTTATCGATGCTGCCTCCACCTTCATCATGCCCTTGCTTTAGGCTTTGTATTCAGATGTTTTATAGTGAGATCATTTACTTCACTGTGGAAATAATTGGTGTATAAATCTCATCAACAGTCTTAAAATCTGTTTGTTTTCAGGCATCAACAACTTGCAGGACGTGTGGGAAACTGCAGAGGGAGAGTGTAACGTGATGCTGGAGTCTCGCTTTGAGAAGATGTATGAGAAGATTGATCTGACGTTGCTCAATAGGCTGCTGCGTCTCATTGTTGACCACAACATTGCTGATTACATGACAGCCAAGAACAATGTGGTCATAAACTACAAGGTAGATATGTTGATCTTTTTAAACACGATATGTTTTGCTGCTGCCATGGTTTTATTGGTATTAAAGCTTTTTATTTCATTGTTCTCGTAGGACATGAACCACACCAACTCCTATGGCATCATCAGGGGGCTCCAGTTTGCCTCGTTCATTGTTCAGTATTATGGCCTCGTTATGGACCTGCTGGTGCTCGGATTACACCGTGCCAGCGAGATGGCTGGTCCACCGCAGATGCCCAACGACTTCCTCAGTTTCCAAGACACCACCACCGAGAGCGCCCATCCAATCAGACTGTACTGCCGCTACATCGACCGCATACACATCTTCTTCAGGTGGGGTTGGGTTATCGAAACGATCAGAGGGTTACTTCTAACTTGCTTTGTTTTGCCTGACGATTCAATACATTCAAAGTAGTGACATCTCATTTGTTGATTCTGCAGGTTCTCAGCCGACGAGGCCAGGGACCTGATTCAGCGGTACCTGACAGAGCATCCAGACCCCAACAATGAGAACATAGTGGGTTACAACAACAAGAAGTGCTGGCCTCGAGATGCTCGGATGAGACTAATGAAGCACGATGTCAACCTGTGAGTTTATCATAAAACACTTAACCATGCAGGTGTTTTTATTGGAAAATAGGTCATTCTATGAAAAACATTTGACTCATTTTACGAGGTCGTCATAGAGTTTGAGAAAAGTCTCTTTAATCTTTATTTGTCCAGTGGGCGAGCAGTGTTTTGGGACATCAAAAATCGCCTGCCCAGATCTGTGACCACTGTGCAGTGGGAGAACAGCTTTGTGTCAGTTTACAGCAAAGACAACCCCAACCTGCTCTTTAACATGTGTGGATTTGAGTGCCGCATCCTCCCCAAGTGTCGCACCAGCTATGAGGAGTTCACTCACAAGGATGGAGTCTGGAACCTGCAGAATGAGGTGAGCGTAAACTCCAAAGTGTTTCAATAGTTTAACAGGACAAATTTCACAAAAATACAAACAATAAAACACGAGCACTCAAACAGATCTGATTTTTATTTTTTTCTGGTGCAGGTAACTAAAGAGAGGACAGCACAGTGTTTCCTGCGTGTGGACGACGAATCAATGCAGCGCTTCCACAACAGAGTGCGTCAGATCCTGATGGCCTCTGGGTCCACAACTTTCACCAAGGTTAGAAAAACTCTTGACTCCCATAAACTACGGTGGATGAAAAAGGAAAAGAAAGAGAAGCCTTTCAGTACAAAATGAAACAACGAGTCTCTTGTTCTTGCGTCCAGATTGTAAACAAGTGGAACACCGCTCTGATCGGTCTGATGACGTACTTCCGTGAGGCTGTGGTCAACACACAGGAGCTCCTGGATCTTCTGGTGAAGTGTGAGAACAAGATTCAGACGCGTATCAAGATTGGTCTCAACTCCAAAATGCCCAGCCGCTTCCCTCCAGTGGTCTTCTACACGCCAAAAGAGTTGGGAGGCCTCGGCATGCTGTCCATGGGACACGTGCTCATCCCACAGTCAGACCTGCGGTACGGATGCAGCTATTTGATCATTTCCCCTCTTGCCTGTGAATTTGTTTGACGCTTGAACAACCAGGTAATTTTGTTGCTTCTCTTTCTGCCAGGTGGTCCAAGCAGACAGATGTAGGCATCACCCACTTCAGATCTGGAATGAGCCACGAGGAAGACCAGCTCATTCCCAACTTGTATCGTTACATTCAGCCATGGGAGAGCGAGTTCATTGACTCGCAGAGAGTCTGGGCTGAGTACGCCCTCAAGAGACAGGAGGCCATTACCCAGAACAGGTACGCTCCGAGTCAGAGCAGCTCGTCGGTTTTAGAAAGACGTCCACAAAAACATAAGATGTTCTTTTTGACTTACTTTGACCTAAGTCTGTTCAAATGTCTCTTCTTTGCACCAGACGTCTCACCTTGGAGGATTTGGAGGACTCGTGGGACAGAGGAATACCTCGAATCAACACACTTTTCCAGAAGGACAGACACACGCTGGCCTACGACAAGGGCTGGAGAGTCAGGACAGATTTCAAACAGTATCAGGTACAAAAAAGGCTGATGAGGTGTGTTTATAATCTGAACTGGTGAAGTTTAAGAAGATTTTATGCAGGTTTTCCAGCCCATAAACATTACAGTTGTCTGGGCTTTGACAAGTCTTCTCAGTTTCATCTTAACAAACAAAAATGACGCATCAGTGTTTAATGTCTAGAGCCAGGAGGCGTTTTGTGATCTTGTAGTCTCTGTCTTGACCGCAGGTGCTGAAGCAGAATCCATTCTGGTGGACTCACCAGAGACATGACGGTAAACTGTGGAACCTGAACAACTACCGCACAGACATGATCCAGGCACTGGGTGGTGTGGAGGGCATCCTGGAGCACACGCTCTTCAAGGGCACTTATTTCCCCACCTGGGAGGGTCTCTTCTGGTGAGAGCCTTAAACACAGAGATTTTCCATAATATTTATTTTATACTAGAGTAATCCCTCACTTATCTCGGGGATTATGTTCCAGACCACCATGTGCTCCCTAAACAGGTCTCTCTTGAAAATGAGTTCTCGTGGCTCAATGAGACTAACCTGGATAAATAAAGGCTAAATGAAAAAAAAAAAAAAAAAATTATGTTCCAGACACCCCCGCGATGGGTGAAAATCCTTCCAGTAGGGACGCTGCATTTATTTTAGTATTTATATGTATTTTAGGGCTTTATAAACCCTTCCCACACTCTTGCAATGTTCTTAACAATGTTCTAAACGCTCTAAAAGAAACAGCGGTTCGGGTCGTGCTTGATTATTTTAAATAAACAATCCATGTCACTCGTGCAGCTCACTCAAGTATAAGACAGACCCCCACCTGTCCCCTCCTTTCTTTTTCTGAGGCTGTCTGTCAGTTGCGCGCCCGCCTGTTGTGTGTCTCTGGGACATGACTGGGAAATACAGCCCTGACTCTTCCATTCTCTTTCTCTGCTGTGACAGACAGCCTCGGAAAGAGAAAGAAAAGGGGGTGGGGTGGGGGTCTGTCTTATACCTGAGTGAGCCGCACTCAGCCACTTTCTCTTTTTTTAAACTGATTCACTTATTTTTCCACCTAAGCATTTTCTCTGATCTTCTACATTTGTTCATCTGTTCTGTTCATCCCTACTCCCTGAGCAGTAGCGATGGGAAAAGACAGACCTCGCCCCTTCCTTTCTTTTTCTGAGTCTGTCTATTGCACGCCTGCCTGTGACAGATTGCCTCAGAAGGAGAAAGGAGAGGACGGGGGGGTCTGTCTTTTCTCATCGCCACTCGTGTGTTGTGCATGAAAGAGTTGACACACCTGATTGTCTTTTTTGTCTTCAGGGAAAAGGCCAGTGGTTTTGAAGAGTCCATGAAATGGAAGAAGTTGACCAATGCTCAGAGATCTGGTCTCAACCAAATCCCAAACCGTCGCTTTACTCTCTGGTGGTCGCCCACCATCAACAGGGCCAACGTAAGAACTAATACCAGCTGACTGGAAATATTATTAGTACGCATTTAGGAGTTTCATTACTGACAGCATCGTGTTTTTCTTTATCCTTAGGTGTATGTGGGTTTCCAAGTGCAGCTTGACTTGACAGGCATCTTCATGCACGGCAAGATTCCCACTCTGAAGATCTCCCTCATTCAGATCTTCAGGGCTCACTTGTGGCAGAAGATTCATGAGAGCATCGTCATGGATCTCTGTCAGGTTGGTTCTGATTATTTACTCAAATGTTTGTTTGTTTACACTTCCGATCAATTGAATAAATAAATGTATATTTTGTTTTTCCAGGTGTTTGACCAGGAGCTGGATGCTTTGGAGATTGAGACTGTGCAGAAGGAGACCATCCACCCCAGGAAGTCGTACAAGATGAACTCGTCCTGCGCGGACATCCTCCTCTTCGCATCATACAAGTGGAACGTCTCCCGACCATCTCTGCTCGCTGACTCAAAGTAGGGTTTGTGAGGAAATGCTGGCATCGCTGCAAATGTGTTTTTGACTGGAAAACTGTCAGTTATGACAATGTTACTACTTAGACCAACACTGTTCGTTCCATAAGTTGGCACAATAAAACAATTATTTTATGTGAAATAAAAAGCCGACCTCCTCCCACAGGGATGTGATGGACAGCACCACCACACAGAAATACTGGATTGACATTCAGCTCCGATGGGGAGACTATGACTCTCATGACATTGAGCGCTACGCCAGAGCCAAGTTCCTGGACTACACCACAGACAACATGAGTATCTACCCCTCCCCCACTGGAGTGCTCATTGCCATAGACCTGGCTTATAATCTGCACAGGTGTGGATGGCTTTCTTCATAAATTCCTCACAAATTCAATAGGGTGAATGTTTATGAAGCATTCACACGATCCATTTTTCTTCCGTACGTATTTTGGCGTGATTTTCGTCCTGCAGTTTTCAAGTTATTTCAACAAATCATAAAACATTCAGCTTGTTATGGACAATCCTGCTATGACTTTTGGTATTGGTGCAACTTTAGCGTTTTGAAATATTTAGCGTTTTTGGTCGTTTTTTGTTTTTTTTTCTCAGAAAATGAATTGAGCTCATTTACATCCTTCATATCTTTAGATCTGTTTACAACCTTTTACTGCTCCTTTCACATTTTGTTCTGCTTCATCTTCTTTCTGCTTCCTTGTGCAAATTTAAAAAAAAAAGCTACTTTCAGCTGTTTTTCAGCTGTTTTGTGATCCTTTCAGATTATTTCTTTGTGCTTCTTCTAACTTCTTTATGCTTTCAGCTTATTTCTGCACGTTTCAGCTTTTTCTACTCTTTTCAGCTTCTATTTAGCTATTTGTATGCTAATTTGAGCTTTTTCATCTAATTCCACATTGTTTGCACTCATTTCAACTTTTTTCAGCCTAATTCAACAAAAATGATCTCTCTCTACTTCCTTTTAATTTAAGCTTCTTTCTGCTTTTTAATCTACTTTTCAGCAGTTTTTTTTTTCTCATTTCAGCTTTTTTCAGATAATTTCCACTTTTTTGTACAAATTGTTGCCTATTTCAGCCTAATTGGGCAAACATGTTCTTTCTGTTTTCTTCTGCTAATTTAAACTTGTTCTGTCTTTTCAGCTATATATTTTTTAGCTGATTTCAGTTAAATTCAAGTTTTTCGTGGTAATTTTTGCTACTTTCAGTCAATTAACTTCTTTATACTAATTTCAGCTTATGATATTTCAGCTTTTTTCTGCTCTTTAGTAGTTTAAGCATTTTTATGCATTTTCAGGTACTATTTGGCTTCTCTTTTTTTTTTTTTTTTTTGCTTTTCTCATATTTGTACAAATTTCAGCTTATTTAAACCTAATTAGGAATTATGTGTTCTTTTTTGTTTTCTTCTGCTAATTTAGGCTTAATCTTCCATTTGAGCAATATTTCAGCATGTTTTTTTTAGTTAATTTCAGCTGTTTTTCAGCAAGTTCTTCTGTATTTTCTCAGAAAATGAAATTTCTCTAGTTTAGTTTAAAACTCACATTCCATGCGGTCCCGTGTCCTTATTTCTAATTTTGCTGCTTCGTTCACTTGTCAATAATAATTAACTCTTAAGAGATTGCTGGAAGCGTTCACTAGGTTTTGACACCTGCTTGTTAACCTTCACACAAATGTTCCTCACTCGCCTTTAACGTCTTCACACAACCTTCTCAGATTCCTGTACATGGCTCTAACAGTCAACAGGACTGACGTTGGTTTAAATCACAGTTGTTAACTATACATGGACCTATGAGAAGATTGTGGTTATCTGTCTGGATTTCATGAGAAAATAAACCTCAGCTCCTCATTTTATTTAATTTGTTTATTCTCTTCAGTGCGTATGGTAACTGGTTCCCTGGAGGAAAGCCTCTGATCCAGCAGGCCATGGCCAAGATCATGAAGGCCAACCCGGCTCTTTATGTGCTCCGAGAGCGCATCCGTAAAGGTCTGCAGCTGTACTCTTCAGAGCCCACTGAGCCTTACCTGTCCTCCCAGAACTATGGTGAACTCTTCTCCAACCAGATCATCTGGTTTGTGGATGACACAAATGTGTACAGAGTCACCATCCACAAGGTGAGAACTGTTGTTTTAACCTAAAGAAGGAAACAAAGTGTCAGAATATGTGTGAAATAAAATAAATCCATTCCTTTTAAAACAAATCTGTTTCTACAGACTTTTGAGGGAAACTTGACCACGAAGCCCATCAATGGAGCCATTTTCATCTTCAACCCCAGGACTGGACAACTCTTCCTCAAGATCATTCACACGTCTGTGTGGGCTGGACAGAAACGTCTGGGACAGGTGCTCACATGTAGCATATTTCCCACGCTCAATTTATTCAACAAAATAAAAGATTACGCACCTTCGTCACATCTTATTCTTTGACACGTCTGCTTAGATTTTGATCATATTGGAATTGTCTGTTTTATTTTTGTTGTAGCTGGCTAAGTGGAAAACAGCTGAAGAAGTTGCTGCCCTGATTCGCTCCCTCCCCGTTGAAGAGCAGCCAAAACAGATCATTGTAACCAGGAAGGGGATGTTGGACCCTCTGGAGGTGGGACATCAGGATGCTTGTAAACTGCTATGTGAACCAAAGTCCTTTAAATGTATTCTGTTGGTTCAGATAAAGGTGCAGCTGTAATGTTTGTTCTCTGTTTAGGTCCATCTGCTCGACTTCCCCAACATCGTGATCAAGGGCTCGGAGTTGCAGCTGCCTTTCCAGGCCTGTCTGAAGGTGGAGAAGTTTGGAGACCTGATCTTGAAGGCGACAGAACCACAGATGGTCCTGTTCAACCTCTACGATGATTGGCTGAAGACCATTTCATCGTACACAGTGAGTTTCACCCCTCCATGAGATACAGGAACCTAAGAAAACCTATAGGACTTTAACTTTGATCCATCAGACATGATTTATTTTAATTAGCCTTCAACTCACTCCCTTGTGTAAGTAGTTTGTTTTGTCTCTTCTTCTAGGCCTTCTCCCGTCTCATCCTGATCCTCAGAGCTCTCCATGTCAACAATGACCGAGCGAAGGTGATCCTGAAGCCTGATAAGACGACCATCACTGAACCCCATCACATTTGGCCCACGCTCACCGATGAGGAGTGGATCAAAGTGGAAGTGCAGCTCAAAGATCTCATTCTGGCTGATTATGGCAAAAAGAACAAGTAAGAGCTGCTCTAAGTTGATTTATTCAGGATTAGATTAACCATTATTTAACTCGTTAGACAAAGATAGACTTGCATGTTTTTCTAAGAGCTTCTTGTTTCTTTGTCCAGTGTGAACGTGGCCTCGCTGACCCAGTCGGAGATCCGTGACATCATCCTGGGAATGGAGATCTCAGCCCCGTCACAGCAGCGGCAGCAAATCGCAGAGATTGAAAAGCAGACCAAAGAACAGTCTCAGCTCACCGCCACGCAGACCCGCACCGTCAACAAGCACGGAGACGAGATCATCACCTCCACCACCTCCAACTACGAGACGCAGACCTTCTCCTCTAAGACCGAGTGGAGAGTCAGGTGAGTAGCACCAGTTCAGTAATCGTTTCTTTATTAGTGAGTTACAGATTGTTTTAATTCTGCTGGTCTTTTTGGTGTCAGGGCCATATCTGCCGCCAACCTCCATCTCCGGACCAACCACATCTACGTGTCATCTGACGACATCAAGGAGACGGGATACACCTACATTCTGCCCAAAAATGTCCTCAAGAAGTTTATCTGCATCTCAGATCTGAGGGCTCAGGTACACCGGTGTTGTTCATGTTTTCCCGTGAAGTAATAAAAGACTGTAGCTCATGTTAACACTGGCCATGTCATATTTCAGATTGCAGGATACCTGTACGGCACCAGCCCACCAGACAACCCCCAGGTGAAGGAGATCCGCTGTATCGTCATGGTGCCTCAGTGGGGGACGCATCAGACCGTCCACCTCCCTAACCAGCTGCCTGGCCACGAATATCTCAAAGTAAGACCCGTCCTCGCAACTCATCTTTTGTTAATTTATGATAAAATGTGTGTTGAATGCATTTGCAAGAGGTCTATAAAACCGATTTTTGCTTTTCAGGAAATGGAGCCCCTCGGCTGGATCCACACACAGCCCAACGAGTCGCCACAGCTGTCCCCCCAGGACGTTACTACGCACGCAAAGGTCATGGCTGATAACCCGTCCTGGGATGGAGAAAAAACCATAATAATCACTTGCAGGTAGGTCTATTTTTTTTAGGCATCCTTAACGTTTACCAGACTAATCTTAAAAGCAAGTAGTAAATTTAATCAATTAAAATACGTCTTACAGTTGAAAACACTCAAATGCACCTTAATGAACAGGTTGTTACTATGAATTATCTGTTTTTGTAACTTGAAAGCATCTTACCTGTCTTCCAGCTTCACACCTGGCTCCTGTACACTCACAGCCTACAAACTGACACCCAGTGGGTACGAGTGGGGTCGACAGAACACGGACAAGGGCAACAACCCTAAAGGTTACCTTCCATCCCACTATGAAAGGGTACAGATGCTTCTCTCTGATCGCTTCCTGGGCTTCTTCATGGTGCCCGGCCAGGTCTCCTGGAACTACAACTTCATGGGTCAGTAATTTTAGTCTTTACTTTTGTTCTTTGTATTATGACTACCGTAATTCTCGGGCTATAAAACACACCTGTCTCTAAGCCGCAGACACTAAATATAAGCTGAACCGTAATTTTGTACATAAATAAGACGCTCCGGTTATTTAGCCGCGGGCATCCACTGTTCATCGTCAGGATCTGTGCCCAGCTCCGGCAGTGTGCAACTTTCTTGTTGTAGTACAAGAATCAGCCACCAGGTGGTGTTTCACAGAATATGCTGTAGCTTGCTTTCAACACACACTCACCGACTGAATGATCGTCAGAAGTCTTCATGATGCTTCGCAGTCTGAATCATGGTTAAATTCATTAAATCTACAAAATGAACACTAGAACTATCCAAGCATAATCACCAGACAGAACAGTGCCAAACACCGGCATTAAGTGAAATTATTTAAATATCATATACCGGTAAATATTAACCAGAAGTCTTATCGAGGTCATGTGACCTGAAGTCAAGTAGTACCGGGAAAATACGGTAAATATTCAGTTAATTAGTACCACTGATTTTTATTGTTAAACAATTTTGGTAACCGCTGCAGTTTTTAAATGTACTTTCTAGGGGGGCGAGATGGTGTAGAGGCAGGGCAGCCGGCTTGGGACCCGAAAGTCCCAGGTTCAATCCCCAGTCACTGCATATCACGTGGCGTCTCTGGGCAGCACGCCTCACCCCCAAATTGCCCCCCGGGCGCTTTCAATAGCTGCCCACTGCACCACCTGGTGGTGGATGGGTTAAATGCAGAGACTAATTTCGCCATTGTATGGAAACATACAGTGCTGACATTGTGATGACATTATTATTATTATTATTATTATTGTTAAATAAATTTGACGTGATTCTCCTCAGCACTGCTCATATGAGGAGGAGGGAGGCAGAGCCCCCACCTTTTGTCTCCTCCATTGCGTGCACTTAAATGAGTTCTATTTCATCCCTCCTGCTTTCAGCACCGCCCTCTGGCGGTCATCCGGGATTCATAGAACCGTAGTTACATACATAACTTTCGATACTTATGGTATATGTGGTATTTAAACACATATTTACCATACACAGAAATATTAAAATATATATATATTTAAATATGTATCAATCTTTACTGACCGTTTTAAAAATAAATCTGACAACTTTTCCGCTGAGCTCTCATGACAGAAGGTGGGGGAAGACCCTTCCTGTTGTTCTCCGCTGTTCGTTGTTCTCTGCTCCAAGATTAAAATGAGATCCTGGTACTTAAATGCATATTTACCGTACACAGAAAGATGTCACACAAAAATAATTTAAAAACTTTTGTTAAAACATTACCAGACTTGACTGCTTTGCGTCTCCAATGCCTGACCTCCGACACATTGATGCAAAGCTTACTGGTGGCAGCTGTTTCCTCCTTGAAAATTTTTCATCTGACAGCCAGATCAATTTAACATGAAAGCTGCATCGTACGAAATTCTCCGTGCATTTTCCATGTATCGCTGAACAAATGGACAGGACTGTGCATGAAGCGCAAAATACGGGAAAGACATGGGAACTATATGAAGAAATTAATGCACATCTATCTTGGGGGATGGTCCTCGGAAGTACCTCATTGGTCATTATGGTTAGACTTCTGGTCACATGATGACAGAGTGGGTGGCGTTATGGTAGGAAAATTAACCCTGAGCAAGTGTCATTGTAAATGTGGATACCTGAGGGCATTCTGTGTTACAAAAGCCTGCCCCCAAGAGGGGTGGGGTGCTGGGAGCGACGAGCCCCCAGCTCTGTCAAAGGAAAATGTTAGTCAGTGGCAGGAAGTTGCAGAGAGATGGCAGGAAGTCTATCAAAATAAAATATAAAAATATGACTTATGAAAATATGAAAAAAAAAATGCATAAGATGCTTCTGCACATAAACCGCGGGGTATAAAGTGTGAGAAAAAAGTAGCGACTTGTACACCGGAAATTACGGTAGTTGGTTTATTTGATATCTGAAGATGTGTAGTGAATTGCAGGAAAAAGTTGATTAAAATATTTATTTTTGTTACTAGGTGTGCGCCACGATCCCAACATGAAGTACGACCTGCAGCTGGCCAACCCCAAAGAGTTCTACCACGAAGTCCATCGGCCCTCGCACTTCTTGAACTTTGCCTCGCTGCAAGAGGGAGAGATTTACAACGCTGACCGCGAGGACATGTTCGGCTGAGGGCCAAACGTTTTGTAGATAGCTCTGAGAATCCTGAAGAGCCAGTCCAGAGGTGTCCCTGTAATACTTTTGAGCTCGTAAACGTGCTGTTTGGGGATTTTTATTTTTTTTTCCATGCAACGGCTTTAGCTTTTCGTTTTTTTTTTTAGTACATTGCAAATTTTTGTGGCTTCTCAAATCTCTCCATATTTGCTTTCGCTCGTAGTGTTCACAGCACAATACTTTGGTGTTATTATTGCAGGAAGCTCAGGACCCACTTCCTTTTCTTACTCAAGAAATGAAATTGAAAGTTGCATTTTCATACTAGTAATACCCCATTAATGTGTTCACCTGTACATCTGTGATATTGTACCCTGGGTTTAAATAAAGACACTTTTTGTAATGAATCATGTGTTCATTTTGTACGTTATTCTGATTTGTATATGTGGAGTGAATAAAGGGGAAGTGCAAAGTTTAATGTATTCATGGTGCAGTTCACTTCCTTTTAGAGAGACCAAACAAATCATGGTTTGGATCAACCGTTTGAAGGGTTCGCTCGGTGCAGATCTGCTTCCTGTAGCTCAGACGTGCAGATGAGGGATTGAGCTGCAGGTTTGGAGAGGAATCCAGTTTTCAGGCTCTGCTGGGTGCATCAGTCTACGAGTTGGAGCTTGTATTTGTTCTGCTGTTGCATTGGTCAGAAGAGGAGGAGGATCCTTGAACTGTCCAGGTCCTTTCTGTTTCGCTCGGCCGCGAACATTATTTGACATGCAGGAGCAGGGAACACGAGCCAGTTTACAAGTTGTCATGCTCGCACCGCAGAGCGCCATACGAAGCCACTAGCCCGGACTCGGTGGGGAACATGGAGGGCAGCAGGAGCTCCCCGGGCTGCTTCGACAGGACGTTTTCCGCCCTCACGGTCGACGACGTGTACGAGATCGCCAAGCTGATCGGCTCCGAGGTGGAGAAGCTCATCGACGGCTACGGGAAAGAGAGCGTCGAGGGTCTGGTGCCGAGGATCGTGAAGGTGCTCGAGCTGCTGGAGAGCTTCGCCTCCAGGAACCACGCTCCGGGTCTGCGGGAAGAGGAGCTGCTGAGGACCTTCGAGACCATCCAGCGGCAGCAGCAGAAGAAACGCGGGGGCAAAGACAGCGAGGAGGGCAGCGATAATGAAATACGGGTAGGACCTTGAATCACCCTGGCGTGCCACCATTTTGTAAACATCAACGTACCAGCTGCACCTGAAGGCACCACCGCGTCGTTATAGCGTTACAACGAAGTAGCGTAAACCAACGGCTCCCTTCAGGCTACAGGCGGGGGCCGACATTCTTTGAATATCGTTCAAATACGCCTTTTTCAGCTACTGAATGCGTTTAAAGGCACGATTGCAGCTTGAATAAACAAACAAAAAAGACCTCCAAAACGATATAAATCCACAACACGTACGTATTTTTTTAAACTTTATAAGTTTTAAAATATTAGTTTTTTGCCACTTTGATAATCGGAACCTCTTGTTGCCAAGGCAACCAGCAGGCCAGCTAGCTAATAGCTAACGAGTACAGAAATAAACTTTTACCACGTTAATTCCTTTAAAAATAACATTTTTAGATTCCCATTTGGTCATGATCATATAAGTTTGTGTTTACTGATGTGGCGTAAAAAACTTAATTTATGAGGCTGGATTAAAAAAAAAAAAGAGTAAAATCAGGCTAATTAGCACGCAATTAGCATGTAATTAGTTAATAATGATATAGTTGTAATTAGTTTGTAGATGAACAACAGTACACTTAGGCAGAAAACTTTATGGATGCAGAACTATAATAGATTATTCATTTAGGTTTTTGTTGAGTTTAGCTGACAAGTTTTTGCTCTGTCTGGCACTCATTGCATTATTTTTTTTTAAATTAATTTCTAACTAGGATTTTAACCATTTTTATGTTGCATACAAAACTAGGCGGTACTGGAAGTGCAGCTGGTAAGTTTTAAAATTAATCTTCAATAACATCTGTAACAGCTTAACTCAAAAGGCACACCTGCTTTGACAGAATATGTTTTTTCCAGATTCCAGATGTTTATGGGAGAGGGGGAGTCACATCAGATTTGCCTCTCATGGTTTTGGCTTTTGCTATTTTTTTTTTTCTGTTTTTGTTTTTTTAAGCAGGAGTTGCAGCAGAAGGAACAACAGTGGAAGAGGAGGTGTGAGGAGCTGCAGCTCCAGGTGCAGCAGCTCCATGAGGACAGAGAGGAGCTGCAGAACAGGCTGAAGGGCAACCATGCACAGGAAGGTACCTTAACATCGCCCCTAAATAAGCACAAAAGGTATATTTTGTAGCTTTACATGCAGACTTTAACACACTATATTGTTAGTTTCAGCGTTGTTGTTTAAAAACAACCATAAAGCAATATTGCATTACTTCAATAAAAAGCTCAAGAGATTTAATTGGTCTTTTCCCCATCTTAGAAGAGTTAATCTGAAGTAATGTTTCGGTCTTGCTCTGTTAGTTAAATGCTCCAAGTCTTCATCAAGGCTTCAGTTTTAAGTGTTTTGAAATCAGTCAAAAACAATCAGTCCTCGTTATCTTTAAACACTTTGCACAGAATTTGTTTTACTTTTACATGAAGTGTATGTGCCTATTTTAGTAATTGTTTCAGCTCAAAACATGCACACTACTCTCTCTTTTCTAGGTTTTAAACGGGCAAATCCACCTCCAGGTCGTTTGATTATCACTTTTTTCCTACCCCAGTGCACCAATACAAACATGTCATAGTTTCTGTTGTGTAGAAGCTTTTCATCCAGTGATAGTACAGATTGAAAACACTGCCTAATGCAGTCCAACTGGTTCATGACGTGTTTACGGTGCAGACGTGTTGCTTAGATTTTACAAGAGTTTACAGATATGAGAAGAAAAAGTAGAAATAAGCCACATTTATTTAAGAAGGCCATTTTGAACGTACAATATTTTATTGAATTTAAATTTGCAGTACTTTATTCTTATATATATATATATATATATATATATATTTTTTTTTTTTTTAACAAAAGATCACCTAATCTTACAAAAATACAGTTACAGAAGACTTACTCTGTTTTGCGTCTATGACAACAGTCATAAAAGTCACTTTTGTTGCTGATTATCCTGCTAATAGAGTTAGGACAATTGTATTAAATTAATAACCAATATAAGAAATCTTTATAAATGTGGACTTTAGTGATGGGCCTTACAGCTCTGGGCCGGTTCTTTAACAAGCCTTTGAGAAGCTTAAAGAACCAGTTAAGAGCTAATTTCTTAATCATAGCACTCAGTAACAGAGCTGTTAGCCGAAAGAGCCGGCTTGTATTGGAGCTTAGCCAGATGAGCTGGTTCCCCAGGAAAGAGCTGTAAGTCCCATCACTAGTGGACCTAAAAAGGCAGACTCAAAGAAGTTAAGATAGTTTAAGCTGATGAACGGGTGTGAGGGGCGGAGCAACAAGAAAGCTAAAGAAAACCACCTATGACATTAAAAAAATAAATGCAAAAATGACTAAATTATTCAGAATACAGGAAAATTAAACAAAAAAAAAACAAACATTGTAGCTACAAAAACAACAGAAAACCGTATAATTGTAACAGCAACTATATTTTCCATTTCAGTGTTTCCTAATAATAAACAAAATAGTTCTTTTAAAATATTACACTAACTTATTGAAAATAATTGTTTGAAATTTATTTTCACTGTCCCTAAATGATAAAATGAAACAGAAAAGATTCAGTCCATGATGCTGTAATCACACAGATTTAGGCACGTCTAAAACAACTACAGTAAAATGATCTTGGCGGTCGAGTCACTGCTGACTCTTGTTTATCTGGGGGGGGAAGCGGTCTCTGTTGTTTCTAAAGATTTCGTTTTAAAGAGGCCAAGTGGCAGGTGAAAGTGGGAATGCTCTTCTGAACCAGTGAAAGTGAAAATGTGCCAGTCCGCAGTTTTATGAGTCCATTTTACGAACAGGGATTTAGTTTTACTTCAGTTTCTGAGTGTTTAGAGCTGCCTTTTCCTTCTGTAGAGCAGGGTCCGTTTGTTCAAAATGTGGTATGTTTGCTTAAGAAACGTTTCTCCAAGATGATATTTTACTTACTCTAGATAATTCACAGTTCTCATTGTTCCAATGAAAATCACATATAGTCACTTTTGTGGGTAGTCCAAATTTCCAGGTACTTTTCCACACAAGTTTGTAAATTGTACTTGTGTTTTTTTATCCACGCAGTTACAAACAGGACTGGGCTATTTTTACTTTATAGTGGGATGGTGGCATCATTTTATGTCAAATGTCAAAACTGGAACTCCCAGTTTAGAGAGGAGAAATGTTTGATCTGTGCTTTATTTTCTGAACTTATTTGTACAAAGTATCCGTTTGGTTTGGGTTTATTTTGTGTTAAAGTCTCAGACTTGTTGATACTCAGACCACAGTCTCCACCAAAACATTTTTAAACACTATAAATTATTACAGATAGGTGTAAGTTTGGAAAGACTTTTAAAGCTCACTAATCAGTTTATCTTCTGATGGTATAATCACACTGATCCCTCTACATAAATGTGTTTTGCTATTGTTTAAATTTACTCTACATGTGCATTGTTGTCAATTACTTACAAAAAAAAAAACACAATCAAGAAGTTTCATAATGACAACAGAAAGCTACAGGTTTATTTAAAGGATAAAACATTTGGGGCCGATATGTTTTGCTTATAATGCGCATGTGTATGTGTGTGCGTGTGTGTGTTAGATCGTGTTCAGAGGCAGGAGAGGGAGGTCATGCTGAAGCTGAAGCAAGTGGTGGACAAGCAGAGAGACGAGCTGAGAGCCAAAGCTCAGGAGGTCACCGTCGTCTCTAAAGAGGTGGAGGCGGTAAGGAGACGCACAGATCCATCCTGTAAACACTCCTCTACCTGTATGAAAAGGAGCACAAGCGCACTCACACCATAAACTGTGCATTTATAGCTTTATGGCTTCAAAAGTTCTGCGGTTGTAAAGCTACGTTGCATTTCCAGTGTATTTTATGTCATTGTGCAAAAGTGTACATAAAGTCACTCTAAGCACATCAGCAAATGATCGTTCAGCTAAAAGAAGAAACAATTGAACCTGTAAACGACAATTACCAATGCATTTTAAGACAGCAAACAGGTTATCAGGCAGTGAAAGATGGCAGGGACTTCTCATAAATACTGGGTGAAGGTTACAGACAAGTCAGGGCACACATTCACTGACAACTGTGTTTGTCAAAACACATATCACATGATTTAAACAGCTGAAACCACTGGGGGTGTTTGATAAAGCCTCACCTTTTGCTCCCATTCCGTTGACTTGGCTGAAAAAATAAAATCATATCTTCATTTTAAACTGAAAAAATAAATCTTGAGTAGTTACTGTTTACTAGTTTTACTGTGTGAATATTTATGAAACATTCACACTAGTGTGATCCATTTCTCTTTTGTACGTTTTTCAATGTGATTCTTGTCCCGCAGTTTTCAAGCTATTTCAACAAATCATCTATCAAAACGTTCAGCTCTTTCAGGACAATCCCGCTATGACTTTTGGTATTGGTGCAACTTTGGCTTTTTGAAATATTTAGCTTTTTCTGCCATTTTTTTTCTCATAGAAAATGAATTGATCTCATTTTATTTACATCCTTCAAATTTTTAAATCTGTTTTCAACTTTTATTGCTCCTTTCACATTTTGTTATGCTTCAGCTTCTTTCAGCTTCCTTGTGCAAATTTAAACACTTTTTCAGCTACTTTCAGCTAATTTCAGCTGTTTTTTCAGCTGCTTTGTGGTCCTTTCAAATTATTTCTGCTAACTAGAACATTTTTGTGCTTCTTCTAACTTCTTTCTACGAATTTCAGCTTGTTATTCTCCTTTCAGCTTATTTCTGCACATTTAAACTATTTCAGCTACTGTTTAACTGCTTTTATGCTAATTTTAGCTTTTCAGCTAATTCCACATTTTTTGCACTCATTTAAACTTTTTCCTGCCTAATTCAGCAAAAATGTGCTCTCTCCACTTTCTTCTGGTAATTTAAGTTTCTTTCTGCATTTTCAGATACTTTTCAGCAATTTTTTTTGCTAATTTCATAATTTTTGTGCTCATTTCTCCTTATTTAAACCTAATTCAGCAAATGTGTTCTTTCTGCTTAGCTCTGCCAACTTGGGCTTATTCTTCCATTTCAGCATGTTTTTTTTAGCTAATTTCAGCAGTTTTTCAGCAAGTTCTGCAATAAGCATTCACACTGCATTTTCACAGGAAATGCAGTTTCTATAGTTATAATTTCACTTGTAAGATAAACTTGAAAAAAATAAATAGATATTTATCCAAAAATGATTGGTGTTTTTGTACTGTGTAGTTTGTCTCAGACTTACTGTCCATATTTAGACAGATAAATCACATTGAGCCTCATATCATATAGACTCATTTACAAGTGAGACCTGTTTAGCTCTGTGTTTTTAGTTTCAGCATTTTGATCCTAGCTGTGTTTGGAACTACTGTAAGGAAAGGGAAACTGAACGTGCAACTGCTCAGAGTTGTAATCCAGAAACGTCTGTGTGTGTTTGTGCAGCTCCAGGAGCAGTTGGATCGCTTCATGAAAATGAACGCAGAGCTGCGGCACAAACAGAACGTTCTGCAGGCGCAGCTGAAGAGCACCGTGGAGAGGAAGGCAGACATGGAGGCCGACCTGAAGGAGAGAAGCAAAGAGATGGAACGACTCCGAGCGCAGCTGAGTGATGCCAGCACAAGCAGCCCTGTACGCGCTCCTTCGACACAAAACACTTTGTTTACCGTACGACTCTTCTATTTGATGGGCTAAAGGATTATCTCCTCGTACACTCAACACATTTAGAAACTTCACAAATTGAAAGTATTTTATTCAAAACAAAACAAAAAATACCAAAAAGGTTAAAAAAAATGCAACAGTTTGTTCCTATTAGTTTCCGAAAGCTGAACGAGTTCAAGAAACAAGTCACAACCGAAGTAAACATGATCATGTACCGCCTTGTATTACAAGACCATGAAAAATATGTTTAGCTTCAGGTTATTATTGAAAATAAACATACTGTACTTTAAAAAAAACTGTAGAGGTGTTTAATGTTTGATATTCTCTCTTTATGCTATTTTCAGTTATTTTTAGGGTTTATTTACTCATAGGCGTTTGGAAAAAAATACTAATAAAATAGGATTTTTTTTTTTTAACTGAGCGTTGTATCGTTGAATGAACTTGATGAGTTAATGTTCTCCCAACAGTCCAGTCCAAGTAAATCAGCAGAAGAGTTGAGCAAAAAGCCGACGGAGAACCATCTGGATCCCGATCTGCCATGCTTCACAAAGAAGGAGGTGCGGGACATCCTGTTTGAGAGGAACGAGCTGAAAACCAACCTCTTCCTGGTGCAAGAAGAGCTCAACTACTACCAGAGGTGGGTCCAATGCACAAGTGGGCGAGCTTTAGTTGCACGTGTTTGACTTTAAGTCCACTGTTTGTTGCACCGATTGGGTTAACATGTCCCAACTCTGCAGGGAAATATTGAACGAGGAGAGGTGTCCGGGTTTCCTCTTAGAAGCTGTCCGCTCCGCCATCAAAAAGAGAAGGAGGCTGATAAAGGCCAAGATGCTTGGGATTCCTGCAACTGAATGCAACAGCAGGTTAGACACACCAAGGGCTCCTCACGTTCAGGACTGCCATCAGAAACATGTTCAGAAAGTTGGGAGTTTATACACCATTTGTCTCCAGCGATGAGGAAGACAGAAGTTCTCGTTTCGGGCAGACAGAAGTGGATGGAGCAGCAGCAGACGGAGCTGACAAACCAGCCGAGTCACGTATTCGAAACCTGTGAGTTCACCTACAGAGCACTGGATTAGTTTAAACCATGGGTGTCCAAACGCTTTCAAATGTGGGCCAAAACTATCAAGATGAAAGGGCTCGTGGGCCACAAAAATGTGCATTTAACTCTTAACGTGAACAATATTTTGGAGAATGAATAAAATTTTACTAACTTTGGTTGAGAGTTTTAAATTGTTGTAGATCCAAAACATTAAAAACCTCATAAACACAAAGCTTATTTTTTAGTTAAAACAGATTTAATTTATTTGATTTGTTGGGTCTATGTTTGTTGTTTTCTTGTGTTTGGAAATATAATTTTAGTCTGTTCTCAGCAATAAAAGTGTAATTTGAGTAAGTGTCCTTTTAAAAGGGGATCGATCAACCTTTTGGCCCATGGACAGCCCAAAAGACTGATGGAAGTTCTGAAAAATTGTCCAGGTGTCTGTCACTCAACAGATTCATAGAAGGTTTGATAAAGTTGATCATTTTACATTTACCCTTTATTTATCCAGGTAGTCTCAATGAGCCACGAGAATTCATTTTCCAGAGAGACCTGTTTTTGGGAGCAGATGGGGGTTGGGGGCTTGCTCATGGGCCCAGGGTGGGGCGAATGAGGGTGGGGGCAGGTATGGGTGCTTCACCTACCCCACCCACATTTTTGATGTTGTCAGTGCTGGGGCTTGAGCCGGCGATCTTCCGATCACAGGCCCACCTTCTCTAGCCTCTGCGCCACCACTTCCCCCAACTCGTATGTAGATGATACCACGTTATATTCATTTAAAAACATCCAATTCCCTCTTGATTATTTTATCAACTGCAATATTTAGCCAAGTTTTATTAATTATTATCCAAAAGTCTCCTTTCTGGTAGAAATCAGTAAAGGTTTTGGTGCAAAATAAAATAAAAAGATTATTGCCAAAGGTTTGCATTTTGCTTAATACTGCTCATTTTAAGAAGATTGTTTTTCATCTGTTTTTCTGTTAAACCTAAACATTATATAAAAAAGGATTACTAACAAATTTGCAGAAAGTCTGCATCGACCTCTTAAGCCTGCTGGCCAAAATGATACCATTCTTAAACTGCAGCTGTGGGCCGCACAAAATCACTCCAAGGACCGCAGGTGCCCCGCAGGCCGCACTTTGGACACCCGTGGTTTAAACCAAAAAAAAAATCCTGATTATTGAGACAAATAGTTTCATCCTTGTTTTGCTGCACTTTAATTCAAGCAGAGCGTGGATGAAATAAAGAGTCCTGAATGAAACAACTGTTGAAGCTTTGGTGAGAAAAAGAATAAATCAGAGCTGACATTATAAAACCTTCCTCTGAAAAACATCAGACATAAACGATGCAGCACACGTCTCTGCCGCTGAGATCCTCGTCTATTTTTAGTTGTAATCCCCGACTGCAGCTGTGACCTCAGACTTGTCTCTCTCACCCTGTCGGCTGCAGCTTTGGCTTTCTGACGCGGTCGGGCAGCGGCTCCGCCCACATGAGCAACTCCGCCTCCACCTGGGAGATCATCGGCGACACGGAGGCTGGCGAGGACGCAGAGCAGCGTCCGTCTTCTTGAACCTGGTACCCCGTGAGATTTCCTCCTGTCTGTCAGCCATCTTTCTCTCCCCAGCAGAACAATGGGTCGTTCACTCAGGGACACAGTTTTTTGGACTTTTGGATGCAAACCCACACAAAAACACTTTGAGTTAAAAAAAACAAACATACATGAGTGATTTCAACTCTTTCACTGTTTGATTGTTTTAGCCCGGACTAGTTCATTTGAGTTTGGCTGTTGAACTGGATACAACGTTTGTCAGAATCTTTTGCACAGTTCAGGTATTACAATACAATCATAATGTATTTTATTACGATTACATTTTACTCATGTGTTTTTGAGAGATCTTTTAAACCTCATATATTTTGTATACATCCTCAGAGATTGATATAAAGACCAAAGACTGTAGACGTTTAACTTTTTGAAAGACTAACTTCCTCGTTGTTTAACCTCGGCTGCAAGATGAATCTGTATGACTGAGAAAACACAAACTGATATAAAACATCCTGTAACTTTTATATATATATAAAAAATCTAATTCCTCATGGATTTTTCTTCAATTACTGGATTGAACTGTAATTAATTTTTGTAGGAATTTAGTTTGAAATCTAATCAGTGGCTATATTTTAAAAGTTGGAGATTATTCCGCGGTCATATTCCTCCTCTTTCCAGGTGGTTAGAAAACTTTAAACAGTGTTTCCCTCTTGGGTTTTCTTTCTTATGGATTTTTTCACACCTCATTGGTTTAAAGTGGTTCAACGTAAAATACTACCTTTAGTCAGTTTAGTTTTTTTATACTAATTTTACAGAACAAAATACAAATATGCACGATATGAGTATCCACAGGTAGTTTCTGCCAGATTAAAGTATAAATACTTGATGGAAAGTCAAAAATTTACATAAACTAATGTATTTTACTTGGTTAAACAACTTTTTATAATTTTAATCCCCTTCTGTGTCCCTGTTGGGACTAGCTTCCTTAAAGGAATGCATATCACCCGCCACTTTGTGCGTCATAATTTTAAACAAAGACCTCGTGCGATCTGTCGGCACTTGGACTATGTGCTGAGAGCGATTTTCAGCTACCATAACAAATTGTATCTTGATTCCTGTTGCCTGATCCAAAGAGCAAACTCAAAGATGTTTGACCTTTCTGTACTCGTCCTCTTCTAGATTCAGTCACAAATGTAGCCCAATACTGTAGATCTCATCATCTTTGATGATGTTTTGGATAAATAAATCTCCCAGGTGTTCAATGTTTGGGTTTACTCTATCAAACAGATTCATCTTCCAGAGAAAAAAATAAATAAAAACTATGTTGTGTTGGGAACCTTGGGGGACTTCATGTCTCATTGTCCTCTGTAGGACAACAGTAGAGTCAGTTCTCATCTGTTCCACCAGGGGGCACTTTTATAACAATTTGTACTATAGTGATCTAACATGTATAAGGACTTGTGTTTTGAAGCACTTTAAGCAGGAGGAAAACAAAAAGTTTCAATCATGGATCCAGGTTCTTCCAGTAGTGAGTGTATCTGAACCCTTTCTGCCTTAATGCACTGCTCATATTTTTGCTTCTTCCACATTTTGAGTGTTTTGACCCAACCAAAGCATTTGGAGTTTGTATTCGTTAACGGTGCCACACGAGTTGGTTAGGCTGGCGTATCAGCCTCTGCTCATTAAGTTACTCTGTTCTGAGAACGCCCTCGTGGCTTTAAAGAAAACGTTGAATATGTTTTAGCTCCACCACGTTCTCCTGACACGTTAGTCATCATCTTTATTGCCTGATTCGAATATTCAAACAGACACGTCAATGTTACTGAGGGACAATATCGTCCAAAGACACAACCTTCTGAAACTTAGTTTACCATTAATTCATGTAAGCACAAACTAAGTTTCCTGATTAATAAATTACAGTGGATGTTTGATAAAAACGTTGTTTTAATGAAGCTCAATAAACACAGAATACTGAAGGCTTGGATGACTTCATTGCATTTCTCCCACTGATGAAGAAACGTGTTGGATGTTGTTTAAAAATGAATCTTTAGTTCAAAGTGATGTGACGTAAGTAATGACAAAATCTTTCTCCATCATCTCCTGGAAGAACCTCAACAATAAGTTCTGGGAAGAAGGTGAACAGCAGACGTGTGTGTTGTTCTTTGTAGACGCCCCACCACTGTGTGTGTGTGTTGTCATCTTTAAAAAGCTCTGTGTCTGAGTGAATAGAAGGAAGTAGCTCTGACTTCCCTAGGAAATGGGGAGAGGAAAGACGGGGGCTTTGACCTCTCTGACTGCACCGGAGCCACAAGACAACCAGAGGGAGAAGGGAAGGGTGGACGCCGGACAGAAACCACTGGAAGAAGAAGAAAAAAAATCTGCACTGTGCGACAAACCCTTTGGTTCCAGTTTGTAGAACTGGACTTTGTGTGGAGATGAAGTTCCTCAGAGCTCTGAGTGCTCTGCTCTGCTGCTTGTTGTCTGCTCACTCACTGGATCCTGGTGGGAGGAACGTCTGCAAGAGTTTAAGGTACATCACCTTTTATTTTCATGTCTGATCGTACCGTTTTTTTTAAGAATCGACAGCTGGAGAGTTTGTTTTACAATCATATTTATTTCACAGAGTTTGGACAGTCTGCCAGTCTGGATCTTTTTCTTTCAGACAAGATTCTTATCTATATTTATTAGGAATGCACAATATTATTGGCATGGTATTGGTATAGGACGATATTATCGTTAAAGTTAAATATCGGATATCGGCCATTTCGTCAAAATTACCGATATAAAAGACACTGTTTTTGTATGACAACCCGGGTTAGAAGCCGTCATTTCCGACGTCAATGTGAAGCTAATAGCCGATAGCACTTGGGTGAGTTTTACCACAGACATTTGGACATCGTGTTAGCCCCATTAGCATGATTAGTTTTATGGCACAATGGATAGACAAAAACTTTGAACTTAAAAAGTCTGTCCTTCATGCACAAGAGGGCAGAGGATCCCTCACTGCAGCTAGAAACCTGGAACAAGCCTCCACAGGTGAGACAGCATCGCAGGTGACTAATGCTAATAACATTGAACACTTTTCATTTAATATAAGTTAAAGTGCTATGCATATCATATGGCTGTTACTGAATATGTCACCAGCTTTTACAGCTGTTACACAATTTTTGTAGCAAATAAGCCCAAATAAGAGGAATATGTTCTGACAAAGGAACGTATATAAAAATATTGGCATCAGTTATCGGCCAAATAAGTTTTAACATATCGAATATCGGTCAAAAATCCAATATTGTGCATCCCTAATATTTATCTATATTTATCTAGTTATCATTAAAGACTAACCAGGACAAAATCACATAACAAACAGACATTATCTTCACACGTGAACATGTTTTTACAAACATTCAGTTGCTTTCTCTGGACAGTGACGATACATATGCAGTTTTTATCTTCGTCGCATCCTCCCCATCATCACGAAATGACAAATTAAAGAAAATTATAAATGGTATAATTCATGTGCAGGCACAAATATAAAGGGTTCATGTGCCTTTTGAATTACTGCACACAAAAATTAGAAACCCCTGTCAATCACTGTTAGACTTCACTAAAAATGTATTCGAACCCTCAGATCTTTGTGCCTTCTCGGTCTCTCTGGGTGACCATCACGTAACAACGAGTTTGGCACACAGTTGAATATTTAGTATGGTTTAAAATCCAAACTTTACACTGACCTTGCAATATTTAAGAATATTTTTCATTTTAGGGTCCTAACATGTTTCTCTTGAGGTCTCATGTTGTGTAGAACTGACAGTCCAGGTTTGAGTTTGGGCTAAATGTGTCAATCAACATGCTTTGTATTTTAGTTTTGCCAACACCTCCAGTGTCTGCTGCTGCTTATTTTGACAACTCCAGGGTTTCACGACCGAAGTTTTAGATTTTTCAGGCTCACGGACTTGTTTCCTGAATTTTCAGGGACCCTTCCACTTTGGTCTGTTGCACTGGATGGCGTCAGCAGGGAGACGAGTGCGCCATACGTGAGTTCATGCAACCTAACCGTGAAATAAAATTACATTTTTTTTTGACTCCTTCACATTTAGTTTGTCAGTTTCTCCTTTGAACCTTGTGTGTGTGTGTGTGTGTAGCTGTGTGTGCAGGGGAGCAGGTGTGTCTGGATAATGAGATCTGTTTATTTCCTGGAGTGTGCCGCTGTCCACCTGGCTACTATGGAGCTCAGTGTAAAACACGTGAGTTATTGCAGACAGCAGCTTGATGTTACGGGATGTAACAAAAGCAAAAAGGATTGTATGAAATATACAGTAGGAAGTGTGAGAATTTAATGGATAAATAGTTTTTCTTGCATGGAACCAGTGGATATTTTAGAGCTCCTCCTGTGAGGATACAGAACATAAAAGAAGACAGTAGTTTTATCAAACGTTAAGTTCAAGCAGGATCATTCAAAAGAGTTTAAATAATGATCCTAATATTTTACTTGCTGATACAATAACATACTCATAACAATTTTTAAAGACGTTTAAAGTGCAATAAATGTGTCACAAAACATAATGTTGCACGACATGAAGACTCCAAAAGACAAAGAGAAAGGAAAAAATTTGGTGTCAAAACTTTTTTTTTAACAAACTGCAGGGTTCATACTCTATTTTTTCATTCATTCAACCTTTATTTATACAGGTTATAGTCTCATTGAGCCACGTGGACTCATTTACAAGAGAGGCCTGTTTTAAACAAAGACCAGAAGAGGTACAAACAATAATAGACTGTCATAAAAAAGTATATGAAATTAAAAGTAAATAGAGGAAATGTAATAAAAATGAAACAAAAATGGCAAAAAATGAGATAAAATAGAAGGAAGGACTGGGGATACAAACTTCCTGTTTGAAAACAACATCCCTTTGGTTTTATCAGCATTTAGCACCAGTTTGAGACAGAACAAATCTGACTGGATGAAGTCGAATGCAGACTAAGAGCTGGAAAAATCTTAGCAACTGTTCTAGCTCGACAATAAAGAACTGTGTCATCAGCACAGAGATGTAAGGATGTATCAGGAATGATCTGACCATCCAAATCAAACATGGAACAAATAGATATTGATTTCAGCATTTCCCAGCTCTGGATAGATATGGAGAAAAAGAACTGAAATTATGAACACATCTGCGTTTCCAGGCTCCTGTTGCATTTTCTAAAAGGTGAAAACTTTCATTTCTAAAAGTTGCTTAAACAAGCAGAGTGTTCTTTTATGTCTAATATATTCTTAAAACTAGAGAAATTGCTTTCCCTGCGTAAATGCAGTGTGAATGCTTACTGCTGAACTTGCTGAAAAACAGCTGAAATTAGCTAAAAAAGACATGCTGAAATGTAGCTGAAATGGAAGAACAAGCCTAAGTTAGCAGAAAAAAGCAGAAAGAACACATATTTGCTCAGTTAGGTTTCAATAAGCAGAAATTAACACAAAAAAGTGGAAATTATCTGAAAAAAGCTGAAATGAGCACACACACAAAAAACAGCTGAAAAGTAAATGGACTGTACTTATATAGCACTTTTCTATCTTATCAAGATACTCAAAGTACTTTACACTACAACCTGTGCCCTCATTTACCCATTCATACAGCACTCTACTAGATCTATATAAAGAATAATCAGAGCTTTATCTCATTCATACACTGATGGGACACACATCAAAGGCAATAAGGGGTTCAGTGTCTTGCCCAGGGACACTTTGGCATGTGACTGCTGGTGGAATCGAACCCCCAACTCTTGTATAGGAGGACGACTGCTCTAACCACTCAGCCACAGTCGCCCTAAGTAGCTAAAAAGGTGCTAAAAAAAGAAGCTGAAATTACCAGAAGGAAGTAGAGAGCACATTTTTTTTTGCTAAATTAGGCCTAAAAAAAAGTTGAAATGAGTGCAAAAAATGTGCATTTATATGAAAAGACTTAATTAGTACAAAAGCAGCTATATAGTGGCTGAAATAGTAGAAAAAGCTGAAATTTACAGAAATAAGCTGAAAGGAGCAGAAATTAGAAGAAGCACAAAACAGTTGTAGTTAGCAGAAATAATCTTAAACGAGCACAAAAACAGCTGAAATGAGCTGAAAGTAGCTGAAAAAGTTTAAATTTGCACAAGGAAGCTGAAAGCAGCTGAAGCAGAACAAAAATGTGAAATGGCCAGTAAAAGGTTGTAAAAGATTTGAAGGATGTAAAATGAGCTCAGTTCATTTTCTATGAGGAAAAAATGGCAGAAATGGCTAAATATTTCAAAAAGCTAATGTTGCACCAACACCAAAAGTCACAGCATCCTTCTCCTGAACGAGCTGAACATTTGATGAATTGTTAGCTTGAAAACTGCGGGAGGAGAAGTGTGCCGAAAAATGTACGGAAGAAAACTGGATCACAATAGAGTGAATTCTTCATAAACGTTCACACACTATAAATATATCTTCATATTAATGTCTACTTTCGGTCCATCCGCCACATAAAGCCTTGAATTTGTGTTTGTAGCTGTTAAAGTTCTGGTTTTTGACTTACAGAATTCAGAAACAAATGAACGCCCGCTCACTTTAAGTGTCCGTGGCTCGAGTGGTGAATTTGGTTTCCCTCTAAGGACAGACTGCAGTTTAATCCACAGTTCCTTTCATATTTTATTATGCACAAAACATTTTAATCTCAAGGTACCTTTCATGGCACCTGCATATATCTGCAAATTATTAACCACTTATTACATATACTGTCTTTTCAGTTACAGGGTATCTGAGCTTTGAAGAACACAACTTTTTGTAAATCTGTACACGGGAACACGTTTTTACCGAATGACCATTTTATATCGACTAAAACTTAACTCATGGTGTTAAGAAAACAATAAAAACTGCATTTAGTTGTTTTGTTTTCTTCAAATGCGTTGATCGTTTCTGTCAATCTTTTGTGCACAGTTTGTTTCTTCATGTTCAAGCAGATAATTAAACCCCACCACTGCACAAACTTTTACATTTCTGACAGCAGTTTGTGAAGATTTAAGTCTAAAAAAAATGATGGATTTCAAAATAAAAGGTGTGTAGGCCCCGCAAATAATCTAAATCTACATTTACAGCTTCAGTCAAGCCATAACCCCAAATATTTAAATAAAAAGCTTTATTGTACACATAGACTACAGTTTTGAAATTGTACGATTACGCAGATTAAACCTTGAACTGATTAGTATGCACATTTAAAAAAAATGGTTTTAAATGTATAATAAGTTCAAATATTTTTCCAAACTGTGTGCGAATTGATGATTGTTTTAACCTGAAACAGACAAAATGTCCTAAAGCTCGGACCTCACTCAGCGGGTCTGCATATTCTTTGTTCGGTACCAGGCTGTCCTCCTGAGTTCTGGGCTCCAGACTGCCGTCGGGTGTGTCCGTGCTTCCCTCACGGCCGCTGTCAGTCCGCCACCGGCGAGTGCACCTGCAACGCCAACCGCTGGGGTCCGCTTTGCCAGAACACCTGCAAGTGCTCCCGCCACGGCCACTGCCATCCCGTCCATGGGAACTGCACCTGCGACAAAGGCTGGTCATTGCCCACCTGCTCCAGGCCGTGCCAGTGCTCCATCGGGGGCTCTGTGGACGCCAGCTGCGACCAGCTAACGGGCCGCTGCCAGTGCCACAGAGGATTCTGGGGCATCAAATGCTTGGTCAAATGCAACTGCAATCTGTCTCCGTGTAACCAGGGGACGGGTGTGTGCGAGTGCCTGGCGGGCTGGTGGGGATCCAGTTGTGACAGGAAATGCACCTGTGACCTGACACACAGCAGCTGCGAGCCGGTCACAGGACAGTGTGTGTGCCACCCGGGTTACCAGGGTTTGTTCTGTGAACAGTTGTGCGCAGCTGGGAGCTACGGCAGCAGGTGCAACATGAGGCAAGTCTGTGCTTAGATACAAATAATAATGTTGAATTATTACGTTTCTCCTGACTTCATCTTTTGTTTTCAGCTGCGGTCCATGTAAAGACCACCAGCCTTGTTCTGCCACCGACGGATCGTGCTCCGCCTGTGAGCCCGGCTGGAACGGTACACGATGTGACCGCCCGTGCTCGTTCGGTTTCTACGGGGATGGCTGTCAGGAAACGTGTCCAAGATGCAGGAATAACGAGACCTGCGACCCCAAAACTGGGAGATGTAGGAGCTGTGACCCTGGATGGACGGGACCCAGGTGTGTGCATGCATGTTAAACAGAAAACAAAATCAGTGCAGCTTTTTAAAGTGAAGTGCTTCACAAAATACACTACGAGACAAGAACTGAAAACCTTACCTGATGTGACAAATTATATTATAGACCATTGTTTCTATGTGAAACAGCACAGCCTCTTAACACAGTTTTAATAAAAAAACAACTGGGAAAAATCTGAAAATTCAATTTAATTAAGTTAAATGTGTACTGCTGTATCAGTGTGTGCAATGAGAGCATCACAAAGGACTGCAATCAGCTGCAAACTCAAAAATATTTAGCTACCAGACAGACGCCAGCCCTGATTTAGAAGATAGTGGCCAAAAGCTTAAAGCACATGGAGAGTTTTGTAATGACAGAAGGAAACAAAATTCCTTGAAGAAATGCGCTTCACTCACCACTGTTCATGGCAGAGTTTTAAACTGAGGTAAAAAAAAAAAAAGACGTTTTAGATGTTTTGGTTAAACTGTTAAAATAAAATTATGCAGTCTGATACAATATAACACGATCTCTCATGATTTGTTGGCGCTTGGAGTAAGTATTGACAAACTGTCAGCTACTACCACGTTAGGTTTTTGTTCAGTAGCTGTAAAATTAGCCAAGTTGGAGCCAATTACCTGCGACGGCCATCTTGAATTTGATTGACTACAAAACTTATGGAGTCATACCTGTATATGTGCTTTCAATGACTTCTTTCTGAGTTTCAGTAAAATCCGTCCAGTATTTCATGAGATATTTTGCTAACAGACAGACAAAAAGTTCACTCCAAAAGTTAATTCTAATATTTTAAACAAATTCCTTGTGCAATCTTGGACACAAGCAGTTAGTGCTCAGAGTGTGTGTTGGGGATGATGCTCAGCTCCTACCACACCAAACTTTAGCTCAATGTGTGTAATTTTTATTTATTTTTTATTTTTCAACCTTTATTTAAACAGATAAATCACATTGAGCCTCGAAGACTCATTTACAAATGAGACCTGTTTGGACAGACAAAAACATTTGACGACCTTAAAGCTTGTTTTGTGTTTTCGTAGGCTGAGTAGTGTGGTGGGCTTTATTTTCAGAATTAATTAAAAAGTTAACAGTTAATGATATACATCCAAGGATTAGTCTATTGGAGAGCTTCTTAAAATCTGACCAGTTGTTGATGAGATATTTTGCTAACAGAGAGACAACACATGCGCACACATACAAAGGTTTGGCTGCATTTCAGCAGCAGGTGAAAGATTGTTAATATCATCATTCAGCAACATTATCGTAGTTTTCCTTATATGAATTAGCAGAAATGGGCACAAAAATTAGGAAATTAGCTTAAAAAAACCCTGAAATTAGCGAAAAATAGCTGAAAAGTCGCAGAAAGAAGCTTCAACTGCCAGAAGGAAGTGGAAGGAGCTGAAATGAGCTAAAATGTGGAATTAGCTGAAAAAGCTAAATTTAGCACAAAAAGGGCTAAAAAGTAGCTGAAAAGCAGAAAAAGTTGACATTAGCAGAAAAACCTAAAGGAGCATAACAAGCTGAAATTAGCAGAAATTACCATGAAAAACCTGAATTTACCTGAAAACAGCTGAAATTAGCTAAAAAAAAATAGTAGCTGAAGAAGTAGAACAAGCTAAAGTTGGCAGAAGAAAGCAGAAAGAACGTTTGCATAAAGAAGCACAAATGAGCACAAAAAGTGGAAATTAACTGAAAAAAGTTGAAATTAGAAAAAACAGCTGAAAAGTAGCTAAAAAAGCAGAAAGAAGCTGAAATTACAAGAAAGAAGTGGAGATCAATTTTTTTGCTGAATTTAGCAGAATTTTTTTTTAAATGATTGCAAAAAATGTGGAATTATCTGAAAAACCTTAAATTAGCATAAACACATCTACCGGTATATAGTAGCTGAAATAGTAGAAAAAGCTGAAACACAAAAATAAGCTGAAAGGAGCATAATAGCTGAAATTAGCAGAAAGAAGTTAGAAGAAGCACAAAAATGTTGTAGTTAGCAGAAAGGAGCACAAAACAGCTGAAAGTAGTTGAAAAAGTGTTTAAATTTGTACAAAGAAGCTGAAGCAGAACAAAATGTGACAGGAGCAGTAAAAGGTTGTAAACAGATCTAAAGATTTGAAGGATGTAAAATGAGCTCTCTTCATTTTCTATGAGGAAAAAAATGGCAGAAAAGGCTAAATATTTCAAAAAGCTAAAGTTGCACCAATACCAAAAGTCATAACGGGATTGTCCTGAAAGAGCTGAACGTTTTGATAGATGATTTGTTGAAGCAGCACAAAATCTGCAGGATGAGAAAGATGCTGAAAAACGTACAGAAGAAAAATGGATCACAATAGTGTGAATACTTCATATTAGATCTAGTCCCACCTCTTCCAGTTATTTCTGCTAAAATTAGATTTTTTTTGTCATAATTTAAAGTTCTTGCTGTCAAAAGTTGCAATATCCTGTGGCTGAACATGTATCTTCTCACAACTTCAATCCTGGATCGGGTTGCTAACAGTCAAACCAGGCTCATCCTGTGCCTTTATGTGGAGTCAGGAGAGTTTGTGTGGTAAAGTTAGCCGAGCAGCATTTTCTGAAAACTTTGTAAGTTTTCAAGTGTTCACCAGTCACTTTGCGTACAGTGAGACTATTTAAGTAAAAAAAAGGCGGCAGTGTTGTCATTATTTGTATCCTCGTCCAGGTGTGAGGAGTCCTGCCCCAGTGGGACACACGGAGACGCCTGCAGCTTCCTGTGCAGCCCCTGTTTCCATGGTAACTGCCATCACGTGACAGGAAGATGTGTCTGCCATCCTGGTTTTCATGGAGAGAGGTGAGCGGTCAGGTCAAGGCTCTGAATAAAGAGTGTTTATCTATCTGGGAAGCTACGAGGGCGGCTCACCTGGAAGATAATCATTTAAATTTATCGTTAGATGTTCGTAAACAGAGCTGAGTTTATTTTAGACGTGCATTTGTGAGATTTTCTGTGTTTTCCAGCTGTAACAGCAGCTGCCCCGCTCTGCAGTTTGGTCTCAACTGTTCGTCTTTCTGTGACTGCGGTGATGGAGTCAGCTGCCACCCCGTCACCGGCGCCTGCCCCAACAGTACGTCCACCATTTACTCAGTCCTCTGTCTCTCCTGATACATGAAAGACTCCAGGTGTTTGTTAACTTCTGCCTGTCAGGTGTTCGAGGAGCTGTTCTAGCAGGCGTGTTGGTTCCTTCGTTCCTCCTGCTGTTTGCTGTTCTGTGCTGCTGTCTGTGTTGTGGAGGACGCCCCGCTGCTGGCAAGGACAGGTCTGCTCCCATTTTTTATTTGGTTCAAATGACACGCAGGTAATGGAAATCAATGTCATCATCTAAACATCAAAACTCTGAACGGTGCATGTGAGCCGTGCTGACAACATGAGTCACAATGAGCACAGGCTGAATAAGAAAATATTTACACTATATTTGTTTTATAAATGAAATTTGTATAAGAATTAGTCCCTAAAGACTATTTAGTGATCTAAACTAGTAAACAATTTTCCTAATCTGCACTAAAAATAAAAATTACAAGGCATGCCTTCAGATATATTTCTTTGCCTGCCATAGAGTCAGGAAATCCCTTCATATAATGTTTGGCATCATTGTGAAGTTTGGGGAGTTCTTTTTACAGTAGTCCTTCGATTATCGCGGGGGTTACGTTCCACACACCCCCACGATAGGTGAAAAACCGCGATGTAGGAACGCTATATTTATGTTAGTATTTATATTTTAAGGCTTTATAAACATTTCCCACACTCTTTCAATGTTCTAAACTCTTAAACCTCCATCATTTTAACAACATACATATTGTGCTGTACAGTACTACAAAATTTTACTCACCAGCTCTGCAGACCAGCAGCTCAGTTCTGGTCGGGCTCAGTTCCGGTTCTGCAGACCTACCCTGCAGCAATGAAGCTCACCGCCCTGTCCAGGCTGATGTGCGCATGGATAATTGAGCTTCAGGATTATTTGTGACTTTCCTGTCAGTTCTGTGAGCTGAATAGATAACGTAGATTTGCGTTACAAAACTTTCCCTCCATTTTGGCAGAAAGCAGCAGCCGGAAACACTGTTGGCTTCTGGGAAGTGTAGTTCTTTTGACTGGCAATACAATATAGGCTTATTGAAAGAAAACTACAAAATGGCGGCGCTTGTCCGAAGTATTTTTTTCGTTAACTTTTTGTCCCGTACCATCTCAATCACACAAGTAATAGTAAAGTTGACAATAGTTGAAAAACCGTGAAAGAGCGAGTCTGCAAAAGTCGAACCGCCACGTAGCAAAGGACTAATGCGAACACTCGTCGCAGGGGGACGTATTTTGATATAGTCTCCATCCGTCCATTGCTTCTGATTCGCTCAAGATAATTCAACAAAGATTCATACGCATGTGCATCATCACTAGACGGAGTGTCGCGTACGCTTTTTATCACCCTTGCTCCAAGGTCAAGGTCAAATGTTATACAAGGTCTTTGCTTGTCTGGGCCATTGTTATAGATTTATAGTAGATAATAGTTTGTTGAGGGGTGTTTAACGTAAACGGTACTCTTGATGATCATTATGTTATCATTCATCAGTTCCTCCAAGGTTTTTCAGACCTTTTTTTGTTTGTCAAGTCCTAGAATATCTGATTTTGGGGCAGCTTTTTAGAAATTTGCCACAAAAGCTTCAGTGTTTTAAAGAAAAACTTAATTTAAAGAAATAGACAAGAAATTTTGTGTAATCTTTCCATGAAAAACTCCCAGACATCAAGCAGACAACAAAATAAAAGCTTTGTCAACAAATGAGAGGTTTTAGACAGTTTGGTTGTTTTCACTGTCAGAGAGTTAATTCAGATGTTTTTAACATGTTTATGCTCAAAGCTACACACAAGAATGAAAAGAAAATTTATGTGACCATTTATATGTAAATTTTATTGTTATTACTACAAGTAAAGTTATTTATTCTTTGCAACAGTGGGAATGTGGCTGATAGCAGTTTGTCTGTTCGGATGAAGTATCACGTCTACAGCGTCCTGGCGAACATCGGTGCTGCCCTCCCCTGCATCTCTGACTGGTCCTCTGGTCTGCCTCGAGTCACCGGTCAGTACCACCACCCAGGATTTACCATGTGCTTCCTCTTCGAGGCACTTTAGAGATTAGCAGTCATCACAAAAAACGAACAGATTTAAAGTTATTTTCAGTGTTTCTACAAACACTGTAGGAGAAAACGCTGCTAAACGAGTAAATGTTTCAAAACCAACTTTATGAGTATAAACACAAAACTAACTTTACATGTCTAAACACTAAACTAACTTTATGACTCTAAACACTAAACTAACTTTACATGTCTAAACACTAAACTAACTTTATGACTCTAAACACTAAACTAACTTTACATGTCTAAACACTAAACTAACTTTATGACTCTAAACACAAAAGTAACTTTATGAGTCTAAACATAAAACTAACTTTATGAGTATCCTGATGCATGCACAATAATCCAGGTAGAAAAATCTAAAAAAGTTAAATCTGGTCCTCTGGACATTCAAAAAAAAAAAAACCAAAGCAAGTTTATGAGTCTAAACACAACCTTTATGAGTCTAAACACAAAACTAACTTTATGAGTCTAAACACAACCTTTATGAGTCTAAATACAAAACTAACTTTATGAGTCTAAATACAAA